GTTGTGCCCTTGTTTGTTTCTCTTGGCACCGTGGAGTGCTGGGGGGGGCGACAGGGAGGATATGGCCTTGAGTTATGTGTACGCCAACTCAGGGTGTGTGGCAGCCCGCTGGCTGTGTGTCTTGTGAGCCTGTTTGTGTCTGTGTGTCGCTCGTGCGTGCCGTCATCATCTGTCTAGCGTCCACCCATACCGCGTTGGTGTCCAGTCCGAGCCTGGCTGTTCTTCACCCTTCTACCTACCTACCTAGTATATGCAGGCCAATCTGGGTGTTGATGCACCTGCAGTCTCGCTCTCGGATAGCCGCCCCCGACACGCCTCGAGAACGTACATGGAGCTCGGCTCTTACGTTTCAGTCAAAATTAGGTCGAGAAAGAAAAGAAAAATTGACCCTGCCATGTGTGTTTGCTGCGAGAGTCGTTGCACATCGCAGACCCGACGCACAGCTCTCTCCTCGACCACAGCCGCTCTCCCCGCCAGCTGCCCGCCAGCTCTGCCCGCCAGCTGCCCGCCAGCTGCCTCGTGCTGGAGATGCTTAGCCTCCTCACCGTGACGGCGCTGGCGCTGTCGTCGCCTGTCCGGCCAGGCGGAAGAACAGGAGCTCGTGCTGCGGCGGCACGGCGCCCTGGCGGCGCTGTGCTGCTGAGCGAGGAGGCTGGCGATGCGGACGCAGCCTTGGCGGCCGCCGAGAGAGAGCTCCAAATCGCGCTGGCCGAGGCCGCCGCTGCGCGCGAGGCGGCGTCGGCACGGAAGGAGACGGCGGCGAGGGCGGCCGCGGAGGAGGAGGCGCCGCACGCGAGGCTGGTGCTGGTCCGCCACGGACAGAGCGAGTGGAACCTGGCGAACCGCTTCACCGGCTGGGTGGACGTCGACCTGACGGAGCAGGGCATCCTCGAGGCGCGCGAGGCTGGCCGTCTGCTCGCGGCCGCCGGGCTCGAGATTGACGAGGTGCACACCTCGCTGATGCGGAGAGCCATCCGGTCGGCGGTGCTGATGCTCTCGACGCTCAACCAGTGCTGGCTGCCGGTGCGGAAGCACCTCGAGCTCAACGAGCAGCACGCCGGCCTGCTGACGGGCGAGAACAAGGTCTCGTGCGCCCAAAAGTGGGGCGTCGATCAGGTGATGGCGTGGCGGCGCAACTTTGAGGACCCTCCTCCCGAGATAGCCGCCGACTCGGCGATCCAGCGCGCCATCGCCACCGACAGGAGGTGCGGCGCCGCCGCGTCGAGCCCCAGCCCTACCCTACACCCTGAACCAAAAGACCCAGACCCAGATGATCCCCAACCCTGACCCCAACCCCACGACCCTAGACCCAACCCCAACCCCGACCTTGACGAGGTACGACGCCGCGCGGGTGCCGTCGCGCGAGTGCCTCTCCGCCGTCTCCCGGCGCGTGGCCGGCCTGTGGGAGGGCACCATCGCGCCGGCGCTGCAGGAGGGGAGGACGGTCCTCGTCGTGACGCACGGAAACACGCTTCGCGCCCTCGTCGCGTATCTAGACGGCCTCGCGCCCGAGGACGTGTACCACGTCGACCTGCCGACGGCGACGCCGCTGCTGTACGAGTTTGACGCGGACGGCGCGGGCGCGGAGGCGCCCGTGGCGGGGCTGCGCCACGCGAGGGAGCACGGCGTGTGGGGCGAGCGGGAGGGGGCGGCGCGGCACGGCCGCTTCCTGGTGTGCGCTGTCCCCGCGAGCGCGAAGCGGCGAGGAGAGCTGCGCCACTCACGGGGGTGTGTGGCGGGGTGACGACTAGGTGGACGAGTCGCGCGTGCGGGCGGCGCAGCAGGCGATGCGGCAGCAGGTGCTGCAGGACATCGCGTACTCGATGGTGCGAGAGCGACCGCCGAGAGGGCGGCGAGGTGGACGGACCCTTCCGAGACACTTCCTTCGACCCTTCCCTGAAGGTGACTGCGCCCACCGAGGACGGCGAGATCAAGACCGCCTTCACCGCGCCCGAGGCGCGGCAGCGGCTCTCGATGATCGAGGGCGAGGGGTACACGGTGCGGCAGACGCCGCCGGCATACTTCTTCCAGGAGTCCGAGCGGCTCGAGGAGCAGGAAGCTGCCTCCCCACCCCGACCGCCGCTGCCCTGCCCGACGGCCTCCTGCCCGACGGCCTCCCCCGACGCCGCAGCCCCCCCCCCCCCCCCTCTTCCCTGCCCCCTCCCCAGGTGCACACGTCCCTTCTCAAGCGGGCCATCAAGACGGCGCGCGAGCCTTGCCCCCTCGCCGAGGCGGACGCGACGCACCAGACCCGTCCGCGACCTCCACGACCCCCCCCCCCCTTCCCTGTCCCCGACCCCCCCCCTGCCCCCCTCCCTCCAGGCGTGGCTCGCCCTCGACGAGATGGACCTGCAGTGGACGCCGGTGCAAAACACGTGGAGGCTCAACGAGCGAAACTACGGCGAGCTGCAGGGCCGAGTCAAGGCGGGCGGCGTCGAGGCGCTGCTTTGCGTCTCCTGGACACGCCCGTGACACGTCCCTGGCATGTCCCGCAGGCCGACTGCGTCAAGGCGCACGGGCTGAAGCAGGTGCAGCGCTGGCGGCGCGGCTTCAGCGACCGGCCTCCGCCCTGGAGCGACGCGACTCTGGTCGAGACGATCGACCGGCGGTACGACCTCTACCGCGGCGGCGACTTCCCCCCGCGCTCCGAGTCGCTCGAGGACTGCCAGCAGCGGCTGAGGCCCTTTCTGTACGGCGAGCTGGGCGAGAGCATGCGCGCGGCGGGGAAGGTTCGGGGGGGCATGTCCAAGCGACACGTCCCTGACAGGCCCAGTGTGACTCGGCCTCTCAGGCGTGCGGCGGTGGACGCGGCGCTCGCCGACGCGGAGGCGGGCGGGGGCGAGTACGAGGTCCCGACGGTGCTGGTCGTGGCGTCGGAGAATGTGCTGCGCGGGCTGGTGATGGAGATCGAGGGGATGACCCAGGCGCGAGCCCCAGGGCGGGCCTTGCGCGAGGCGAGAAGCCCGACCCCCTCTGCCGCCCCCTCCCTCGCCGCGCAGGAGCAGATCCCGCTCGTCGACGTGCCGTACGCCGTCCCGCTCGTCTACCAGCTCGATTCGGCGCTGACGCCCGTCGCCACGCCGTGGGCCGAGCCGCCGCTTCGGGCGGGGTGGTACTTGGGGGACCCGACCAAGGTGCGCGCCGTGCAAGCCGAGATCCAGGCCGACCTCGCCGTGGAGGACGCCGACGACGAGGAGGAGGCTTGCCTCGTCGAGAGCTTTGACGACGAGCGCGGCGAGAGCGTCCGGGAGTGGCGCTGCAGCTGACATGGCGGGGGGGGCCGTTGCGATTGTGCGATCGTGTTGGCGCCTTGTAGCCTGCTTGTAGCATGGGCGGCAGTCCGTCACAGCCGAAAAAGTACGGGAATCGCTGTGTCGGTGTAGCGTAAGGTCAGATCCTTCTGTCATACTCTGTTGGTGATGTAAACACTGCTTGATATAGCGAATGGCGCCCGGGAACACCACGATGAGAAACCAGCGAGGGGGCTGGCGAGGTACTTCCAGCCTGCTGTGGGAACAGCTCACGCAGTCTCGCCACAAGGCTCGCCCCACTCGGGTTCCCTCGCCCCCCCGGGTAGGGGGGGACCCCGTGAGGCGTGGGAGTGCCTCGCCAGCGAGGGGGCAGGTTGCGTTCGTTTGTCACTCGCCATGCGCGTCCTTGGCTGACCCTCCAAAACTCCCTCCCCGCCGTTCGCGGCTCGGCTTGCGTATGCGGATGGGAGAGCTTCGTGGACATGCAGGCGTCCCACCCCCTCCGGCCATCCCCCCGGCTCCCAAGCGCGCGGCCGCGACGCGCTGCGCACCCTCTTCCGCGCTGCGCCCGCTCTCGGCATGGCCGTCGTCCGCCGAGATCACCTCCTCTTCGCGCCGCAGGTGCACAACCAAGGGCTGGCCACCTCCGTATCCATCATGGTGAAGCCAATGGGCCAAAATCGGACTCCGCTCCCCTCCCAGGTGGCCGGAGGGTACACCTCGGGTCGGCGTGCTGGGGGGGGCGCCGGTGTGCAAGCCCACTTTCCGGGCGACCCCGAGGGGGAGGAGGCCCGGCGAGTGGCAGCAACTCACTGTTAGTGTCCCGGGCCGCAGCGGCACCGTTTATACGGCCCCTCGTGATGTGTCTTTCCGATTTTGCATTGTGAGTCGTCCTCTGGCCAGCCGAGGGGCACCAGAACGGCATGTGTACTGCTGCTGGCTGCGGGTGTGGAACGGGCTTTTTTTAACTCGCAACCAACTATACTATACAAGGACACCCTCGGGGGGGACACTCGGCGCATGTGCGTCACGTCAGGGTGGAGTTGGCAGTGGCCGAGCGTCGTCTCCCAATCGACTCGCAGCGCGGAGTCGAGGGGTGAAGCGCGTCGCGCTGCGACACTCGAGAGCCGGCGGGATAGCCGTGGGGCGCGGCCGACTTTGAAGTCCTCGAAGACCCGGTGCGCATTCGTCCTCTGAGACCCACGCGTACAGGAAAGGGGCGAGAACGCCCCATTGACAATCTAACGCAACCTTGAGCTAGCCCGTTCCACACAGTGACACACACACACACACACACACACACACACACACACACACACACACACACACATTCAACCCGACGAGCGACGGCTTCCCGCTCCCAGGCGACACACACACACACACACACACACACACACACACACACACACACACACACACACACACACACACACACACACACACACACACACACACACACACACCAGGAGCCTTCGCCAGGTCGTGTGAAGAGCACTGATGCCGCAGTGAGTGAGTGGTCCCGGGCCCTGCGGGGAACTAAGTCGGCGCAAGTTAGTCTGTGAGCTGGACGAGGGCTAGTGGTGCGCCGTGGCGGATCAAGTGGTGAAGTGCTCCCCCGGGAGTCGTGGTCGGAGGCCGGGACACTACGCGCACTAACTTAGTGTGCGGAAGTGAGTGCCTCCAAACGGCCGCGAGGGGAGTGGTCCGGCGGGCCACTCGTAGTGCCCAACAGCCCAATTGCCCTTCGCCGGCGGACGGAGGCGGGCTCGGCTACTACGCGCACTAACTTAGTGTGCGGAAGTGAGTGCCTCCGGCCGGCCGGGGGGGAGTGGTCCAGCGGGCCGCTCGCAGTGCCCTTCGCCGGCGGACGGAGAGGTGGGCTCGGCTACCACGCGCACTAAGTTAGTGCGCGTAGTGAGTGGGCCGCCGGCGAGCGGGCTAGTGGGTGAGTGCCTCCTGCCACCCCGCGCACTAAGATAGTGCGCGTAGTGAGTGGGCCGCCGGCGAGCGGGCTAGTGGGTGAGTGCCTCCTGCCACCCCGCGCACTAAGATAGTGCGCGTAGTGGGTGGGCCGCCTTCTAGTGGTCGGCGAGGCCGTGGCCAGTGCCCCAGCCCTGCGGCGCCGCCTAGTGAGTGAGTGCTCACCGACCCTCCCCACACTAAGTCGGCATCGGTGCTGTGTTTTTTAGTTGGCGAAGGCTCCTGCACACACACACACACACACACGAGGCGCCGTCGCGGCACTTGCTTGACCGTCGACACCAGAACCAAAGCACCCAAGCCGTCGACAAACCCGCAACCCGCCGGCGCGTGCGCGCCGCCAATGGGCAAGGGAGGCCTTCTCCAGCGCGCCACCTACTTTGGCGACACAAAGCTCACGGCGGACGAGGTCATCTTCCTCGTCGTCGCCGCGCTCACCGTCGTCCTCGCGCTCGCCTTTTTGGTTCAGAGTCTGCGCGAGAGCGGTTTGAAGGGCCGCCGCCGCCGAGGGCACAGGGCGCGGACGGCGCCAGGCACCATCAGCCGCTCCGCCTCCATCACGCCGATGCCCAACCGCCGCCACTCCCGCACCACGCCGCCGACCAAGCCGGCGCTCTCGCGCCGCAACTCGTGGGGCGACCCGGCCTCGATCCGTTCGTCTGGCTCCGAGGAGAGCGTCGATCCGCCGCCGCTGCGGCGGAGCCTCTCCTGGTCCGACGAGACGGGCCAGCCGCTCGCGCGCGCCGCGGAGGCGGGCAAGGACCCGCAAAACTGGCCCGAGTTTCGCGAGCGGCGCGACCTCGCCGCAACCGACCGCGAGTCGTTTGGGCGGCGGCGCGTGCCGGCGTCGAAGCGGGTGAGCAGCAGCAGCGCCCCCGCCCCTCCGTCGCTCACGCGCCGCCACTCGTGGGAAGGGTCCTCGCCTCCAGGATCGCATGCAGAGCCGGCGCAGCCGTCGGCGGCGCTGTGGGCGCCGAGGGCGGTCGGCATGCAGACAGCGCCGCCCTTGCCCGCCGCTGCAGACTGGCCCAAGCCGCCGCGGCCGGTGCGGCAGGGCTCGACCGAGCAGCTGGACCGGCTGCCGGTCGGGCTGGGAGGGTGGCGAGGCAACGGCGCCGCCGGGAGAGATGACGACGCCGCCAGCGACACAAACGCGACCACCGCCGCCCTCGCCGCCGGCGCCGCCGCCATCCTGGCCGGCGCCGCCGCAGCCGACGCCGAGGCGGAGAGGAGCGCCGCGCATGCGCCGGCGCCGGCCCGCCCTCCTCCCGACGGCGGCGTTGGCCCTCGCGGCGGCGACGGCGGGCGGTTTGGCGGCGCTGCCAACGGGGGTGGCGGCGCTGCGGCTGACTTGCGCGGGGCCGGGGGCGGCGCCTCGTGCGGCGGCTCGATGCGTGGCCCGACGGACGTGGCGCGCGAGGAGCGGAGTAGGGAGCGGCAGCAGCACCACTACGCCAGAGAGGCTGTCGCGAGCGGCCCGCCTGCGACCTCGGAGACCTCGGCGCAGATCGGGGCGCGCGATGACGACGCGCCCGGGGCATGGGCATGGGCGGAGAGGTCCGCTCGGCTAGCGGCGGACGACGGGTCGAGGATCGGGGACGCCGGCAACAACGGGGGGCGGATGGCGGAGTGGCTGCAGCTCGACTAAGCTCGGGCGGCTGAGCGTTTTGCCACACTGCACGCTGAGAGGGGGGAGGTGGGCCCACACTACAGAGTGTTGGGCCTTGTTCGCTGATCCGCGCGCGGCTCTATAGCGCGGCGCGTTCACCCCCTGTGGTGCACACGCTCTGCCTGACGCTCTGCGAGACCGTGCGAGGGGTGTGGCGCGACGGGTTGTGTCGAGCCCCGATCACGAGAAGGTGGTTGTGGCCGGCGCGCACGGCGGCGCTCTGGCCTCTGGGCGCGCGGGTGGAGTTCTCCGAATCGCAGGTGGTCAGAGTTTTGGAGAAACTTTTTGAAGAGAGACGAGAACAGATGCTTGAGTATGTATCAACTGGATAGACACAGCGGTCCTATGCGCGGTGTGCAACGTTGTGCGCGCCGCCGGCGGCGGCGCCAGACTGCAGACACGGGCAGGCTCACACGCGCGCGCCGCGCGCCGCGCGTCACAAAACACGATTTCACTCATCACAAAACTCTAAATGTCTCATCGCCGAGGGCTGGTTCTCGCACCCGGAGCGGCTCGGCCTCTGGTCTCCACCGCCGGCCAGCAGAAGTCACACTCTGGCGCGACGAGCTCAACGAGGGTGTCGACGAGCGACGAGACCGC